GGAAACGCGCACCCCTCTGGCCCCGCCCACCAGCCCCTCCCCTTCTAGAGCGCGTTCACGTCTTTTGCAGGGGCGTAGGCTACCTAACTGGAGTATAGTTGGTGGGGTGTCTCATTCTGTGGGCCCAAAGATGGGCCCAGGGTTGTGGTTTCTGAGCTTTTCTCCCTCCAGAAATGGGGTAAACCTGAAAACGTTATATAGATTTATGTTTACATATTAGCTCCAAAGAAGAAAAGAAATATGAGAATTGATATTAATACCTGTTTAGTAAAAAGTCCTCTAAATGACCCTAATGCTTTGTTGGTGGTGAAGCCACTTTGGAAAATAGTGTGGCAGTTTCTTAAAAAGTTAAACATAGGGCCTGGCGCGGTGGCTCAAGTCTGTAATCCCAGGATTTTGGGAGGCCGAGGTGAGGGGATTGCCTGAGCCTGAGGGTTCGAGACCAGCCCAGGAAACTTGGCGAGACCTCATCTCTGCAATAAATAAAAAAATTAGCTGGGCATGGTAGTGCGCACCTGTAGTTCCCACTACTTGGAAGGAGGAGGCGGAAGGATCGCCGGAGCCCAGCAGGTCGACGCTGGGGTGGACGTGAGCGTGCCCCTGCCCTTCAGCCTGGGCGACAGGGTAAGACTCCCACTCAAAAAAAAAAAAAAAAAAAAAAAAAAAAAAAACCAGCAAAAAAAAAAAAGAAAGATAAAAACTCATGCTCATTCAAAGACTGAAATGTCAAGACATGAAACAAAGACTAAAATTTGAAGATACCAATGTTTATAGCAGTTGTATTCATATTAGTCAAAATTGGGAATGTCCTATTAACCAGGGAATGGATAGACAAACTGGTGCAACCCTTCAATAGAATGATATTTAACAATAAAAAGGAACAGGCTACTAATAAGTACATAACTGAATGACTCTCAAAGCCGTTATGCTGAGTGAAAAATCTAGCCACAAAAGTCATGTATTGTGTGATTTAATTTACATGAAATGCCCAGAATGGGCAAAACTATGGAGACCTAAACAGATCCATGGTGGCCTTGGGCTGTGAGTGGCAGATGAGATTGACAGTTAAGTAGTGGAGGAAACCTTTTAGGGATGAGGGAAGGGTCCTAAAACCAGACTGTGGGAGTGAAGACTCAACTGTGTTACTAAAACTCATCAGACGGCACACTTAAAATGGGTGAATTTTATATATGTAAATTGTACTTCAATAAAGATGTTTACAAAGTCCTCAAGATGTAATATTCTCTTAGTTAACTGCAATTCAAGCCAACCAAGCTCTCACACAGTCACAGATCATACTGAATGCTTGTGCATTTTAAGGTTTATTACATAAGATGAAGTTACAGCTGTGTAAGTAAGAGGGTCTGTTGGAGGTCCTTGGGTGAACTTGTATGGCAGTGCTTCTGTTTAAGTGTCTACAAGAAGGTTGGGAAGAGTGGCTAAGAGGGCAGCCTCTCTTGGCCAGCCGTAGTGGCTCACGCCTGTAATTCTAGCACTTTGGGAGGCAGAGGTGAGAGGATTGCCTGAGCCCAGGGATTCGAGACCAGCCTGGGCAACTTGGTGAGACCTCGTCTCTACAATAAATAAAAAAAATTAGCCGGGTATGGGGGTGCATGCCTGTGGTTCCAGCTACTTGGAAGGCTGGGGCAGAAGGATTGCCTGAGCCCAGCAAGTAGACGCTGCGGTGGCCACGAGTGTGCCACTCCACTCCAGCCTGGGCGACAGAGTGAGAGACTCCAACTCAAAAAAAAAAAAAAAACCCAAAACAAAAACCAAGAGTGCAGCCTCTCAGTCAAATTGGCCCTAGCAGTCCAACTGTATGATCTGGGACTAGCGACTCAACTTCTTGGAGCTGTGGTCTTTTCATCTGTAAAATGGGAATAATGAGAGTTTTCTCCATGGGACTGTTGGGAGAATTCTTTGACAGTCTTTGGAAAGGGCTTCATCCAGTGCCTGGCACATAGAGAGAACACACATGATAGCAGTGAAATCACCTAGTGACAGGGCTGCCTCCAGATGACACTGATCTTTTTTTTTGTTGGAGTCTCACTCTGTTGCCCAGGTTGGACTGCAGTGGCACACTCACAGTCACCCCAGTGTCAACCTGCTGGGCTCTGGCAATCCTTCCACCTCAGCCTTCCAAGTAGCCGAAACTACAGGTACACACTACCATGCCCGGCTTCCCTTTAAATTTGACCATAAATACAATACTGTAATTATAGACTTTGGGTATCTTTTTTTCTTCTTCTACAAGTGATGAAGAAAATGTTCTTCCCTTCAACAAAATGTTTGCAAGCTGCTGCTGAACTTGAGGCGTTTTGTCTTGTTTTCCATTGGTCAGCTTTCTTGGTCTCTCTAGCACTGCGGTTCATGTGGGCAATATATTTATTTTAATTTTCTTCATTTTTGTGAATAGATAATGTATGCTCATGGTTCGGGTTTTTAAAGGCACAGAAAGATATATAGAGTGAAAATTTCCTTTCTATCCCTTCACTAATTCTCCCCATGTTCCCTCTCTAGAGGCAAAAAGTTGCTTATGCACATGCTTCTAGAGAATTTTGCTTAAGTGCAGGCAAATTCCCACAAAGAGTTTTCATCCTTATTTTTACCCAGCTGGAGCATAGTATATACAGTGTTTTGCAACTTGACTCTTTGGGGCAAATATATTTCAAAATTTTTTCTGTATCTGGACATAAAATTTTTCCTTATCGTTTAGAAAATGACTTAGTATTCCAGTGTTTTCCAGGGTACTGTAATGCATTGAACTGATCCCCTTTTGGTGGACAACTAGGCTGTTTCCAGTCCTTCCCATCACAAACCATGCTGCAATGCACCACCTGGCACTTCCGTCATTTACCATGCACCTATGTGATAATTTCCTCAAGATGGAATTGCTCAGTGTGAAGATCTGTGTATTTGTAAGCTGAAAGAAATGGCAGAATTGTACTACATAGAGGTTGCAAAATATGAGTTTCTAGTTATCCTGACTCTCAGATGGTATCTTGAGCAGAAAAGAAATGTAGGGTTGATTTTATTTTCTTTCTTTCATTTTTTTGTTATTTTCTTTCCTTTCTTTCATTTTTATTTTCTTAACTTGAGAGTCTGTCAGTTTCAAAGGCAGCCATGTAAATAATATGGAGAGTTGTATTCGTTTTCAGTGCTGCATTGAAAAATTATCCTTGGCCGGATGCGGTGGCTCATGCCTATAATCCCAGAACTTTGGGAGGCCAAGGTGAGAGGATTGCCTGAGCCCAGGGGTTCAAGACCAGCTTGGGTAACTTGATGAGACTTCATCTCTACAATAAATCAAGAAAAATTAACTGGGCATGGTGGTGCATGCCTGTATTGAGGCTGCGGTGACTGTGAGCGTGCCACTGCACTCCTGCCTGGGCGACAGAGTGAGACTCCGACTGAAAAACGAAAAAAAATTATCCCAAACTGAGAGCTTAAAACAATACACGTTAATTATCTCACAGTTTCTGTAGGTGATTGGGAGCATGGTTTCATGATGTCCTCTGCTTAGGATCTGAGCAGGCTATCTGGGTCTGTGGTCTCATCAGAGGCTCAAGTGGGGAGAGCTCCACTTCCAAGCTTCTGCAGCTCATTGACTTGTTTATAAAACCAAGAGCCCCGGCTTCTTACTGGTTGTCAGCTGGAGTCCCTGGGGGTTTTAGAGGTGCCTGCAGTTTCCTGCCATGTGGTTCCTGTAATGTGCCTCTCATATTTGCTTCTTCAAGGTCAGCAGGAGTTTTCTCTTCTTCCTATTCTCTCTCTCTGCCTCCTTCCCTTCTTCCCTTCTTCCTGCCCTCCCTCTGGTCTGCTAAGATGGAGTCTTATATAACACAACATAAACACATCATGCCACCCCATAATCCTTGCCATATTCAGTTGTCTTGAAGCAAGTCACCAGTTCTGCCTGCACTCAAGGGGTAGAGACAATATCCCCAAGGACATTACTCAAGGAGGGCTCCCCTCTGGTGTAGCACAACAATAGAAACAAGTTCTTGTGTCAGAATATATTACAAAGGTGGGAACTCTTACTGGAAGAAAGAAGTGGAGGAAAGTTATATTTCAAATATCCTTAATTGATCAAATAAAATGGCAGTTCTGCCTTAGAACAGACAGAACTCGTTGACTTTAGATGAAAGGCACTTATTCTCTAAAGCCTCAGTTTTCACATCTGTTGTGTGAGGTAAATACTTCTTAGCTCACAGGGTTTTTAAGCAATAATTAGTACAAATTGCCAAGTACAGGAACTAACATGTGACCAAAGCTTAACACGCAGAGGGAAGCAGGATAACTTATTTTTTTCTTTTTTTTGAGTCGGAGTCTCATTTTGTCGCCCAGGCTGAAGGGCAGTAGCACACTGCTCATGGCCACCGCAGCCTTGACCTACTGGGCTCAGGTAATTCTTCCATCGCAAGCTTCCAAGTATCTGGAACTACAGGCATGCGACTCCATGCCCAGCTAATTTTTTTGATTTATTGTAGAGACGAGTTCTCGCCATATTGTCCAGGCTGGTCTTGAACCTGCAGTCTCAAGCAGTCCTCTCACCTCTGCTTCCCAAAGTGCTGGGATTACAGGTGTGAGCCACTGTACCCGGCCTGCAAGACAGCTTTTAGCTGGCTCACAGAACACTGAAACTGACATCTGATGTGAGTTTTTTTGCTCCCACAAGTGCTGTCTCACTATCTTCCACATTCGAATAAATAGCAACTTTCCCCAGTTGCTTTCTACAGTCATCCTAAATATGTCTCCTTCTCTCATTTCAATCTATGAGCAAAACTCTGTGGGCTCTTCCTAATCTGACCATTCTCTGGGCAACAGAGTGAGACTCTGTCTCTTAAAAAAAAAAAAAAAAAGAAAGGGAAATTAAAGGTTGTGGGGTGGGGTTGTGGGACCAATTGTTAAATCAGCTTGGATTTTGACAAGGGTTAGGGAACTAATTGTCCTACTATTCCTGAGTAGACTTTCTCCATGGAGTTCCCCTGGGCCCCAAGTTTCCAGATTCAACAAATAATTATAATGATAGCAGTAACAATCCACTATTGAGTATGATTTTATGACAGTCAGGGTTCTAAATTATTTACATGTATTAGTCTATTTAACCTTTCTCAATGCCCTCAGGAGATGCCATTATAATCCCCATTGTGCAGAGAAGTCAAGGACTGGGAGAGTCAGAGGGCAATTTGCCTGAAGCCAAACTCATGGGGATACCCAGCAGTTGCTCATTTATTCCAAGAAACTGAAGTCTGGCTGGCCAGTGACTCAAACCTGTAATCCCAGTGCTTTGGGAGGCCGGAGCAGGAAGATTCCTTGAACCCAGGAGTTCAAAGCTGCAATGAACTATGATCACACCACCACACTCCAGCCTGGGGGACAGAGACCCCATCTCTAAAAAAAAAAAAAGAAATTCGATTCCTATACTTTCAAGTTTTGAAGAACTGTTCTATTTCTTTGGCAGACTAGATGAATGAGATGCAAATAAATGTAAATGTAACTGCTTTTTTTTTTCTGTTTGTCAGTAGGAAATATTTTAATTTTTTTTATCAATATTTTTTATTATGATGTTGTGGGGTACAGTTAAGGGTTAGGTATACAATTACATTTCGTTCAGGCATCCTGTTGATAAGAGGTGTTTCCCCGTCCCCAGACAAATATTTACTACAGTTAATCCCATCTCCCTCCCACCCCCATAGTTTCCCAGTACCGTCAGTCATTTTCTTATAGTATTACATTGGATGTTCAAGGTCCATTATATGAGTGAGAACATGTAATACTCGGATCTTTGTTTCTGTGAGCGGTCACTCAGTATTATAGACTCTAGTTTCATCCAGATTGCTGCGAAATTCATGATTTTGTTCTTTTTTATGGCTGCGTAGTATTCCATCGTGTATATGTACCACATTTTAAAAATCCAGTCCTCTTTTGATGGGCAGCATGGTTGCTTCCAGGTTCTTGCTATTGTGAACAATGCTGCAATAAACATACGTGTGCAGGTATCTTTTTTATAGAGTGATTTGAGTTCTTCAGGATATATTCCCAGTAGGGGGATTGTGGGGTCATATGGGAGGTTGATATTTAGAGCTTTTAGGAATCGCCACACTGCTTTCCACAGAGGTTGCACTAGTTTACACTCCCAACAACAGTGTAGAAGTGTTCCCTTTTCGCCACACTCTCTCCAGCAGCTATTATTTTTTGAGTTGTTGATAATTGCCATTCTGACTGGAGTTAAGTGGTATCTCAGCGTGATTTTGATTTGCTTTTATAAGATGCCACCTTGAACTGTTTCTAGTGCTGTTTTTATTGTTATTTAATCCATTCAAGAGTGGTAGTTTAAAAACAACAAATGATAGTAATAACAATAGTTAAGTATTTTACATGGAATATATATGTATATTATATATATATATATATATATATATATATTTTTTTTTTTTTTTTTTTTTTTTTTAGTGGAGACGGAGTCTTGCTTTGTTGCCCAGGCTGGTCTCAACTCCTGGGCTCAAGCAATCTTCCCACTTCAGCTTCCCAAAGTGCTGGGGTTATAGGTGTGAGCCACTGTGCCCAGCTTGACTTATTTGATTTTAATTTTCAGATAATCCCGAAAGATAGGCACGATTCTTGTCTATTTTCTAGCAAAGGAAGGGTGTGGTCCCAAGAGTTTACGTAATTACCTAAATCACACATCTGGGAGGGAACAGAGCTGGGAATGAAACTCATGGGCCAGATCTATGTTTCACTTAAACATTTAAATCATTTGTCACAAAAGTAAAAGTAGGAATTCATGGGATAATTGGCTCGTGTTCCACTGACTCTGAATGTGTGGTCCCCAGTCTTCTTTTGTTGTTAGTCTGGGGAAGAACTGGCTGCAGACTTTGTGGGGCTCAGTGCAAAAGGGAAATGTTAGGTCCCTTGTTAAAAAAGCAGGCAAGGCCGGCTCGGTGGCTCAGCCTATAATCCTGCACTTTGGGAGGCCGAGGTGAGTGAATTGCCTGAGCCTGCGGGTTCGAGACCTGTCTGGGCAACTTGACGAAACCTCATCTCTACAATAAATCAAAAAATCAGCCGGGCGTGGTAGCGCGCTCCTGTAATTCCGGCTACGCAGAAGGCTGAGGCGCAAGGATCGCTGGAACCCAGCAGGTTGAGACTGCAGTGGCCAGGAGCGGTCACTGCATTCCAGTCTGGGCGACAGAGTGAGACTCTGACTCAAAAAAAAAAAAAAAAAAAAATAGCAGGCAAAAAATGCCTTTCAAGGCACTGAAATATGAAACTGTTTCCTTTGTGTAATCTCTCTTTCTTGAGTTGTCATGGTGATTTTTGATTTAACGTCCTTCTAAGTAAAGAAAAAATTCAAAAATTAGCATACTGGGATACGTTTTACTGTATCTTTTTATTGTGTGTGTCAATTTTAAATGTAAATATCAGAGCTGAAAATAAATGCAAATATACAAGTATTTAATTTGCATGCTGAATTTCCCAAGTTATACAACTTGTATTTTGTAGCTGATACATATGTATTTCATTCTTTCCAGAACAGTAGCGTCACTGCACAAAAGGAACCCAACTTCTTTCGTTTCACTTTTGATACTTGCACGTTCTGCCAACATGATCTATCTCCGGCTTACTGATGCAGAAGGAAGGGCTGAAAGGAATAGAAACTCTGGGTTGCTCTCTTTTTTCCTTTTCCTTTGGTGTCATCATTTTCGGCATACATGCTTGGCAATCCAGGTAGGAAACAGGAATAAGAAAGGATAGGATTGGGTTTCTTGGTCATTTGTGTGTTTTGGAAGGACATCGCCTTCTTTCTGTGTTCGAAGCAAGTTGTGGTTTGAAGGGCAAGCGAGGCTGCCTGAACTGTCAGTGCTTCGGCTCATTGCCACGCTTACCTTGTCCTTGCTTCCAGTCTTGCTGAACTCCCATACATCAGGGGCCACTGCAATTCTGTGCTCCTGGAGCATTATGAATCGTACATCCCAGTGGGTCATAAAGAAACAGGGAGAACATTAAATCGCACATAGCTCCTCTTCTTGAAGCCATGGTCCATTATCTTGTGAGACTTCCCTTACAAAACCCAAGTTCAAAGATAAAAGCATTACAAATTCCAACATGGCAGCAGCAAAGGATTCAACCAAGCATGGGCTCCTTCTGAGCATAGGTTTCATGCCCATTAAGCTGACCCTGGCCCTAGACATTGTACACCTAGAAATTCTGACTTCAGGAGGCCTGGAAAGAGTGTGGTGGGAAGAGGGGTAGGGGCAGGCATAAATACAGGGTATTTATCTTTTTTCTATAAAAATTGTTAAAATTTTAAAAATGATTAAACATTGTATGTGCAAAAGGGCATATACAATATATATTTATCGTTTAAGGAGGAAATGAGATGAAGCTTCACATACCTACCACCTGGATTTAGATAGAGCCTGTTACCAATGGCTGAGGTCATCTGGGTGTTTTTTTCTCACCCAATGTTGCCTCCGACAGAGGCACCATTTGTGCTGATCATTTTTGTTGTTGTTGTTTTTCTTTGTGGCTTGCATATATTTATATTCCTAGACTATGTATTGCTATTTTTGCATCTTTTAAAATTTCACATAAATGAAATTATGCTTTAGGTATTGTTTGACTATTGGCTTCCCCCACCCCCACTCAGTATTGTATATGTGAGATTTCTAATTACAGCTACTATGCGTCAAGCTCTTACTACGTACTAGGTGTGTGTCTAAGCACTTTAAACATTTCTACTGATTCATTTCCCATAGCAACACTATTTGGCGGACAAGACATCCTTATTTTATAGATGAGGGATCAGAGCCTAGAGAGGTGAAGTAGCTTGTCCAAGATCACTCAGCAAGAGAGTCACAGAGGGAGGCATTGAAGCCAGGTACTTTGGCCTTCTTCCACCCCCCAAACCCCGGCACTAGGGAACGCATTGTTTGGATCCTCACCCCCAGGACTTTACCAGTTAGTGGACGCAGCAAGTACATATCGCCTTTAGTTGATGATCCAACCCTCAGTGCTGTGAGAATTGGCCAGTAGGGATCCCTGCAGGGTCAGGCTGTGTCCCAGGAAAGCTCCCTCCAGCTGCCTTCTCCCTTCTTACTCTGGGCTAGTTCCTGTCTGAACTTCTTCGGCAACAGAGGTTTCCTGCTGTGTCTGTGGCAGGCTGCCAAGAGGGCCCAGAAATCAGCCAAGGAAGGACAGTGAGCAGGGTTTTGTGCTTGGCTGGCTGTGTCTGGGCCAGTTTCCTCCAGACAGTGGTCAAGTGAGCAGCCAGCCAGCACTGACCCGCAGGAGACCCTGGCCATTGTCAGTGGGCTTGAGAAGCTGTGTCAGTGACTGGGTGAGAAGGCTTTGCTTATTGCAAATCCGCCTTAGATTGGCATCCTCTTTGCTGTACACCAGCGCCAGTTAGACAATCTGCAAATAGCAAAAACAACAGAAGCAACAACATCAAAAACCTAGAGAGAAAATGACTGAATTCATGATTGAGTATTCATATCAAGAAATAAAGTTGGCTGGGCACGGTGGTTCATGCCTATAATCCCAGCACTTTAGGAGGCCAAGGTGAGAGGATTGCCTGAACTCGTGGGTTCGAGAGCAGCCTGGGCAACTTGGCGAGACCTCATCTCTACAATAAATCAAAAAATTAGCCAGGTATGGTGGCGCACGCCTATATAGCTCCAGCTACTTGGAAAGCTGAGGCAGAAGGATCACCTGAGCCCAGCAGGTCGAGGTTGCAGTGGCCATGAGCATGCCACTGCTCTCCAGCTTGTGGAAATAAAAAATAAAGTAAAAAGGAGTTCAGTTCATAATGAAAATGTAGCACTCCATATTCAAAAATTAATTACATCAAGCACAGGATCCTTTAAAGCCTGGGCTCTGTGCATCTGTATGGATCACATACCCACGCAGATGGCCCTACCCTGTGTTGACCGTGGCTCTGAGCCAAACACTTTACCTGCTGAGCTCATCCATTCCTCATAACAGCCCTGTGAGGCTGGGGGCATTATTATCATCCATTGTACGAGAAGGAAACTGAAGCCTAAAGGGATTTAATAAAGTGGCCATAGCATTGAGCTGGGTGGTAGACAAGTCTAAATGCAGCACCTGTACATGTTGCTATGGTGTTAGCCATGATACCTAGCCCTTCCTCTGCCCAGGATGTGTGTGTGTGTGTGTGTGTGTGTGTGTGTGTGTGTGTGTGTGTGTGTGTGTATGTGTGTGTGTGTGTGTGTATGTGTTGGAGGGACACAGGGGAGTGGGTTTCGAGTGTCATTTTGAACTCTTTGCTTGGAGTCACTCATGAAACTCACACCAGTCCTTGCAGAAAGACTCTGTGGTCCTTTGCTTTCTTTGCAGATGAGGAAACTGAAGCAGAGAAAGGTAAAGAAATTCTTGGCTGGGTGTGGTAGCTCAAGGCTATAATCCCAGCATTTTGGGAGGCCGAGGTGAGAGGATTGTCTGGACTCAGGGGTTCGAGACCATCCTGGGCAACTTGGTGAGACCTTGTCTACAATAAATCACAAAAATTAGCTGGGTGTGGTGGCGTGCATCTGTATTTCCAGCTACTTGGAAGGCTGAGGTGGAAGGATCGCCTAAGCCCAGCAGGTTGAGGCTATGGTGGGCGTGAGCATGCCACTGCACTCTAACCTGGATGACAAGAGTGAGATTCCAACTCAAAAAAAAAAAAAAAAGAATTACGGTTATGCTTTGCTTTCCCGTAATTTTTTGTTTATATTATTTTGTCAGTATCTGGAAGTGTATCATCCAAGTGGCTCTTGGCTATTATGTGTCATCCTGGAAAAAAAAAATAGGACAATACTATGTGATTTCTGCAGCTGCCCAGCATCTGGTCTAATGTAGACACAGAAAGGGGGGTGAGGTAAGGAGGAGAAACAGATCTACTGAGCCGACTCAGGTGGGGGGTGTCCATGTAGCTTGCCGGGGAAACCTCTTACAGGCAAGAGCCGAAAGAAGCATAGAGATTTGCATCACTAACGTCTCATGCCCAAGCTCATTTCTACTTGAAATAAAAACTGAACTATGTTTTCTAGAATGCCACTCTTGAAAAATCCTCTCATGATCAAGTAATAAGGTAACAGCTTTTTATAAATGAGAACCACATTTGCATGACAGTGGGAGAATAACATGACATTAAAAAAAATAGCTGTGTGATGTCATAAATGTAATTGAGCAAAGGCTGACAGTGATAACGAACTTTCTTTCTTACGGGAGCAACACAAAAACTTCATTAGAGAAAATGAGTTTCCCAAGACAGAGAATCAGGCCCAGGAAAGAAGGGAGTCTGGTTTGGCCTGGATTCTGAGCTGGATTCCCCTGTGGTGTTCAGAGGGGACTATTGATGCTCATTCCACTCGAGGCTCATGCCAGATCCAGTGCCCAGCACAGCTTTTGTGGCAGGCAGCCTCTGAGGTGTCCCAGTGACCCCTGGCTCCCAGTGTTTATGCACCTGTGTAATCTCCTCCTCCTGGTGAGGGCTGAACTTATAGACTCACATCTAGTTAATATAGTACTACAAAAGTAATGGGATGTCACTTCCGTGGTTAGGTTACAGGAAGATTGTGGCTACAGTCTCCGGCACCTTCTCTGGCTCTCTTGCCTATGAGTTGCCCTGTGGAGAGACCCATGTAGCAAGGAACAGAGGGCAGCCTCTGGTCAACAGCCCACAAGGATCTGAGGCCTGCCAACAGCTGGGGGTGAGCTGAGAAGCAGATCCCTCTCACCACCCCCCCATCTGAGCCTTGAGATGACTTGGCCAACACATTCACTGCAACCTTGTGAGAGACCCTGAGCCACAGGCACTCAGCTAAGCCATGCCTGTATTTGAGACACACATACATTGAGATAATAAATGTTATTTTAAACAGATAAGTTTTAGAGCTAGTTTGTTATGCAGTAATAGATACTGATACAGCACTCAAGTCATTAATTGAATGTGTGTTGTGCTGAGACTCTCATATCAATCTCATTTTGTTATCCTATTCACATGCTATTTGTGTGACCTTGGGTAAGTTATTTATTAACTCTGAGCACCTCAGTTTCCTCATTTATAAAATTAAGAAACTAACAGTACTTGACATACAGCACTGCTGAGAGGACGAAAAGAGCCTATATTGTAAACAGCACAGGCCTGGTACAGAGTATGCATTTGTTCTTATTATCTATTGCTGGGTTACAAATGACTCCAAACTTTAGTGGTGGAAAATGATTTACTAAGTTCTTAAAAACCTGTGGATGAGGAATTTGGACAAGGCACATGGGGACGATGTGTGTCTGCTTCACAATGTCAGCTGGTATATGAATGATCAATTGCTACACAGCAAATTGCCCCATATTTAGTAACTTAATAGAATACATATTCATTATCTTATAGTTTCTGTAGGCCAGAAGTCAGGGTATGGCTTAACTGGGTCGTTTGCTTGAGGTCTCACCAGGCTATTATTTAGATGTCAGCTGGGGCTGTGGTCTCATTAGAGGCACAACGGGGAAAAATCTACTTCCACATTTCTGCATGTTGTTGGAATAACTAATCTTGTGGCTATATGACTAGAGTTTTTACTGTCTTTCAAGCTGTCATCTGGGACCACTTTTAGCTCCTACAGGCTGCCCACAGTTTCTTGGTTCTCTTTATAGGCTATTCACCACACAGCAACTTCAAAGCCAGAGAAAGAGAGAGAGAGTATATTGCTCCAGTTTGCTAAGATAGAGTCTTCTATAATGTAATGTAATTATGAGTGATATCTTATCAGCTTTGCCATTTAATGTAACCTACTCAAGGAAGTCATATCCCATCACCATTGCTGTATTATATGGGTCAGAATCAAGTCACAGATTCTGTTCCCACTCAATGGGGAGAGAATTGCACAAAGGTGTGGACATCAGGAGGTAGGAATTATTGGGGGTTCAATGACCTAAGGTCTGTCCACCACAGCTGGGAAGACTCATATGGTTGGGGATGACTTGACCAGCGAGGGCTGGGATGATCTGAGGCTTCTTCACTCATGTGAGCAGGTAGCTGGCTTGGATGACTCAAAGGCTGGGCTCAGCTGGGACTCTCGGGCATGTGGACTCTCATGTGGTTTCGGATTTTCTATCATGGTGGCTGGGTTCTGACAGGTACTATCTGGAGAGTAAACCTTCCAAGAGAAGTTGAATGGGCTTTTCTGACATAGCCTTGGATTTCATGCATGTCGATTCTGCCACATTCTATTGGTGACCAGTGAATCAGAGGTCAGTTTATATTCCAGGGGTAGGGATTAGACTCCTCCTCCTGGAAAGTGGCAAGGCCTCACATGGAAGACCTCATGGGTTGGAAAATATTGTGGTGACCATTGTGGGAAACACCATCTGCCACAGTATTCAATAACTATTAACTGATAATAATGGCAATACTGCTCTTTGGTACCCATTATATAGAAGAAGAAACTGAGGTTCAGAGAAATGAAGTCTTCCCTGAGTCCTCTTATCCTCATGTATTTCTTATGCCTGATCCCCTCTAGCATTTTTGGGTTGAATCTAGAGGAGACACAATTTTTCCTAATCTTTGCATTTTAGGCAGAAAAGAATCAGTGCACAGTTAGGCACAGAGAATTGGAGCTTGAAAAATCATTCGAAAAGCGACAGGAATGGGCACTAGGCTGGCTTCCAGGAAAGACTCTGTGGATATAGCAGCCAGGAGCTGCCCCTCGGACTCAGTCAGGCAGGTGGGTGGCAGGAGTCCACTGCTGGAATAAATGTATGGCAGACCACACTGCTGTAGCTGTGATCCTGCAATCAGGGAGCTGTCACTGCTGCCACTGCTCTCAAGCTCCCACAGAACAGGTCAGTGGATTTTGAAAACTGGAATCAGATTGCTGCTACAGCCCCAATGGCCTGTATGGCCCCATGGGCTGGTGACGGGTACCTGAATTCTGCTCCAGAAAACCCCCACATCTCCCAGTAGCAAACAGCCCAGACTCCATCTCCTTTCTGCCTTCAGGACACTGAGCAAGTGCATCCATTTGGCAGAAGCTGATTCATATGGACACCTCACTGCAAAAAGGTCTGGGAAGTTTTGGCCTTTCTTCCAGGAAAGTACTCTAGAACAAGACGGAAATCTACATGCCCGTATTCTATACCTCAGCAAATCGCTACTCTTTCGGGAAGCCCTGACGCCACTCCCACCTTGAGAAGTTCTTTATGTTTTATTGTCAAGAACTGGTCCCACAGCTGCTCTCAGCTACAAAGGAGTCTGGAGTGTGAGGATCTGGCAAAATGAAACAGACTTGTTTGAGATTTGAGCAGT